AGACACACACACACACACAGAAACACACACACACACACACAGAGAGAGAGACACACACACAGAGAGAGAGACACACACACACACACACACACACAGTTTGCATTAGACGCAAGAGACGCATCATAAGTCAAACTCATGCAAACTCACATCCGGCTCACATTTCACACCAGAATCAAATGGGAAGAAATTAGAAGTATTTTTTCTGTAAAATAAATACTTGATTATTTTGGTTTTGAGTGAAATATGACATGGTCATGGCTTCATTTTGTGAGATTTACCCAGATATTAATTTCAGCGCTCATGTTCCAGGTTGCACAGAATATGATAGAAACACTGCCAGTATAAAAAAGCACTGCTGCTGCGCTTACATGCTAACCCTACTGCTTGTGAGAATATATATATTTTTTTTTTAATCTTTTTTTTTTTTGGATATTAATGTTTTTACTTTGACATTAAAGCCACATAGAACAGTACAAAAAAGGGGGATGATTTTACAACTGTTGAATTACATCAGTTCTTCCAGTTTTATACATATTTTTTATAATGTTAAAAATCAAATAATTAAAAAAATGAAATAAAATAATTTTTCAAACAAAAACTGAAATAAAATAAAAAATCTAAATATTTAATAAAACAAACAATAATAACAAAATAAACAATGTACAAAACAAAAAGATTAAAAAAATTAAGAAATATTTGTATTAAACAAAATCAAATGAAATAATAACATTTATTAAAAACAAAAATAAAACAAAAATTTTATACAACAAAATAAAAACGAATCTTTTAATACAAAATAAAAACTAAACTAAATAAAAATTAAAAATAAATAATTTATATGAAAAATTTAATAATAAAAAAAATCTAATCAAATACAATAAAACCAAACAAACTGAGAGACGATCATTCCTCACATCATGCAGCTCCGTCATGTTAAACAAAATAAAATAATATAATAAAATAGTCAGAGGTTTACCTGGATGGTGTGATTGATGTAACACTCACCTGGTCTGAGGGTCTGAGTGTAGCCGATCCCAACCAGGCTGGAATTATTCACTTTAGCCTGAGAGACAAACACAGAGGCTGTTAAATGACTGATGCATCTCTCTGACAGAAAGACTCTCCTACAGTCAGGAATGGTCAGGTTCAGGATTATTGTAGTCTTACAAAACAGAGGTGGGCAGTATGACCAATTTTAGATCATGATCACAGCATATAATCACAATACACACTGGCATTTTGTGAAGATACATAGGATACATAACTATGACTTTTGACTATGACTGTAACTCTTAAAGTTACAAAAACCAACTAAAGTCAAAGTTAGTTGAGGGGAGATTTAGCAAAAGCAGAGTCGTCGTATGGTGAAACTGAATTCAAATCAAAGTGCAAATTGTGAAATATGACACAAAAACAACAGGATTGTAGTCATTAA